GTTCGTATTAAAAATGGGCTCAATCGGATAATTAGTTTCTGAGATATTCAACTTTATATGTAAATCTAATTTCTTTAATATCTCAATAGCGAGTTGACCAATTATATATTTTTTTTCTAATTTTCGTCTCGATGTCCTCTATCTTGACCAATCAAAATCTCTGCACCCAATTATACAACATTTGGAGATATTTTCATTTTTGTCGTTTTGACTTTAAAGCGTTGTTTGCACTCTAGCATCCGCAAAAATGGAGATATCAACTTGAAATTTGGCATGAAGTTGTCTCTAGTAGTAACAATGATTCGTATTGAACATAAGCTCAATCGAATAATTACTTTCTGAGATATTCAACTTTATATGTAAATCTAATTTTTAAAATATCTCAATAATGAGTCAACCGATGCTAATTTCAATTATTCAAGAATATTCCTCTTATTTTGTAATGTCTATGTCCTTTTTTTATATTTTTCATATTTTCTTTGAAATCTTTTTTGATCATTTATTTATCCCTTTTTCAACCCTTTTTGCTTCCGAATGGAAGCCTTGTAATTGACGGATTTTTCGATTCACTAATTTTGATCGGAAATCATATAGAATGTCATGATACGTGGAGAAATTATATTTTTACAGTCATGTCTGTATGTATGTGTGTGACAACTTGGATTTTGGGTGCACAATTTTTCGAAAATTCAATATAAATACGGTGAAATCGGTAGATAGAAATCTGAAATTTTGGCCCCTGATAGCTAAGAATAAACTCTATTTTAACACGCTGGTTCAGCTCAATCGGCCCAGTACCCGGGTAGAAATTCAACCGGGGATTCAGCCGCAACTCGGGTGAGCGCGAGCTCAGCCTCGGCTTGCCGCTTGACCCGAGTTCACGCCGCCTCACGCCGCTCCATACCGGCTCACAGTCGAACGCTCATCAGACGGTATAACCCGGCACTTGAATTTGAGCTGTGGCTCAACACTTAGAACTCGGCTCCGATTGAGTCGTGTCGTTTCGAGTGGAGGGTGGAATAGAATGATATTTATGCATTTTTAGAATATCGATTTAAAATTTGAATACTTTGGAAAATCCTTGTCTTATTATTAATTTAACCTTTATTATTAATTATCAACGCTACAGGAGAGGATATTCTTCAGTTTTCGATAGGCCTACGAGTTCTAAGAATATTCT